ACGTGCGTCTAAGGATAACACCGCTGTATCTCTAGAGTTTAGTTTTTCATACAATATGTTCAGAACGCGCCGAATATTATGAAATCCATGTCTACTTTTGACAAAGCCATTTTGATCATTGTCAACAAGATGGGGAAGATACGACTACAGTCTTCTGGCCAAGGCCTTGCAGAGTATTTTAATGTCACACCCCATCAGACTAATAGGCCTCAAAGAAGAGCATTCATTTGGTGGTTTGTTTGGTTTCAGGATTAAAGTTATTATCGCAAGTCTCAAGGATGGAGGGAGTATTCCCTTTATATAGGATTCCTTATACATGTCCAATAATGGGACCAAAAGTTTCTCCCCAAATCTCTTGTAAAATTCAATTGGAAAGCCGTCCAGCCCTGGTGCTTTTCCGCTCTGCATACTTTGAATGGCTTCTGCTAATTCCTTCGTTGTTATACTGCAATCCAATTCCTTTCGCTCATTTTCTGACAAAGTCTGAAACCTCAATTAATCTAGAAAATTATTTTGACTGTGTAAATCATCTAAATGCTCTGATATGTACAAGGCCTCATAGAAATCCCTAAAAACGTTATTGATCTCCACTGGTTCTGAAGTCATATCGCCTGCAGGTGTCTTAATGCTGTCTAACTGCTTTTTCTTAAGTCCCCAAGCCAGCAGTTTACCACATTAGTAAGACTATTTTAGCCACATTAAATTTTTGTGACTTTTTCTATACATAATTTGTTATATTTGGCTCTCATAATTTATAAATTCTTTGCTTTCTGCGGACTGTAATTATTATACAATTCCTGTTCCAACAGTTTAACTTGGTTTTCAATTGTCTCTATTTCCATACATTGTTGTTTCGCTTTAGATTTCGGAAAGCTAATAATTTCCCCTCTGATATATGCTTTGAATGCCTCCCATCTAACACAAGCATCTGGTCACGATTGATTTCAAAGTAATTGTTAATGCGTTCTTCAGCAAATTTTATAAACTTCAACAGGAAATCTCCATCTCTTAGGGTTATGAATACATTTAAATGATACAGCCACATGATCACTAATGACAATGCTATCATACCAGCATTCTTTAATTTTTGAAAGAAGTCCAAAAAATTGTCAATTCGTGATTGGGTGCCATGTGTACTTGAATAACAGGAGTATCCAACTTTATCTGGGTGTAGTTCCTTCCATACTTCAACCAAATTCAAATCTTTACAGGACTGCAATAGTATTTTCCTTGTTTGTATATGAGTAGAATCAAGGTTAGTAGAATGGTCTTTTGTGGGGACTAAAGTGCAATTAAAATCACCACCAATAATGTACATACCTTGCAAGGTGGACAGAGTGAGGAATAGATTCTGAAAAAATGTTGGATTATCATCATTCGGACCATAGATGCAAACCAGATTTAGTCCACATGTGGATATGTTACCTTGAATAATGATATACAGTACCTACCATATTGATCACAAATAACATTAGCGGTTTGGAACGGTAAAGATTTATGTATAAATATAAGTACACCCCTAGCATGATTGCTGTATGGAGCACACAAGACCTGACCTGGCCACCTCTTTTGCAATCTATCAATTTCTGTTGCTCTTAAATGTATCTCCTGCAAGAAAACTATTTGGGACTTCAGTTGTTTGATTCTGTTTAAGACTTGCTTTAATTTGGCTATTTCTCTCAGCCCCCTAACATTCCAACTAGTGATTTTTATTTTAGAAGTATCTGTGTTTTAGTCTCGTGAGCAAGATGCAGTTCTGTCCTGCCAGATAGACCATATAAGTAAACAAAGACACTGCTGATAGGAGCCTTGATGACATCTAAGAGAAAAACAAAACTAACAAACAAACAAACAAACACACACAAAAAAAGAAAACGTGCCAGATATCCCCCTTCCTGCCCCCCCACACTTCCCCAACTGAAGTGTTTTAAGACCTGAACACTGAACATTGTTCCCGTCGTTCCCCATCTTTCGCTAAATGAATGAGGAGCACTGATCCACATTTACATGAGAAGCACATAATTAGTCAACGTGAGTCTTAAACCCATCACCAACCGTGCACCACGCTTACAACAATCAATATTATAGTTTTTCCCTAGATATCCAATCCCCGTTTCCAGCCATCATTTTGCATAAATGAGCTTCAATAACAAAGTAAGACAAAGAAGAAAAAAAACTTTGTCATAATAATAATGACTATCAATTTTAAGCTAAAAAAACAACAAAAAAAAACAAGGTGGGGAGCTCAATAATACCATGCCCGGTTCACACTCTGTACGGATTGTTCATTATAAACATTATGCAATAAACTTATATCTTCTTAGGCAACCACAAAAAAAAAGCCGGTGCGTGAGCCGGTTCATTTATAACATTCCTATTGCCAGTCTCATCAGTCCATCTCACTGTTACTGTGCCTCTTATGGTGGTTACCTGTCATCGGAGGCTGACTGTGAAGAGAAGAGTTAATCTTTAGGTTGAATTTCACGGTGAAATTCCTCTGCTTCACGCGGTGAAGAGAAGAGGAACACCTTCCCGTCATGGACCACTCTCATCTTGCAGGGGTTTAGCTGGAATCCCCGAAATTTCCCCATCTCACCAAACAGCTTTCTGGCCGTGTTTAATTCTTGACGCAGCATTGTTTCTGCTGAAAAGTCCTGCACCAAAGTAATCTTAGCTCCATCGTGTAGGATATTTTTCTGTGATGAAAGACGATAAACAGTCTTGTCCTGAATATCCTGAAATTTCCAGAAGCGTATAAGAACGGCTCTGTGTTGTCGGCGCCAAGGTGCGATGTATCCACTCCAACACCGGGGTCTGATCCGTGCTCAGCCCCAGCCACTTCGGCAGCATTTCTCGGATAAAATCCAGCAAAGGTCGCGTACCCTCTGCGCCTTCTTTGAGATCAAACATACACAGGTTCTTCCTCCTGTTTCGGTTGTCCAAGTCGTCGGTCTTCATCTCCAAATGTGTCAGCCGTTTTACAGTTCAAGCCAACTCCACCCGTACACTCTCAAGTTCCTCCTCTGCCGCCATCAATCGGTTCTCTGATGCGTTTAGTGTGCTCCGACACGTCATGTTTAACTTCAGCCATTTTGCCTTCTAATGCAGTCATAGCACTGGTTACCTCTCCAAGGCGCTTATTAATGCCATACAGTTTTAGTCCGAACTGAGCCGTCGGTTTTCGAGTTCTGGTAAAAATGTCACATTCCTCAGTCACGTGAGATGTCGACATAGTTGACACTGAGTGGAAAATCTGAATTCCAAGCCACTGTCCGGGGAATTAAAAGATTTTGGTGCACCGTTGATCAGAGCCTCTCTTCTAAGCTGCCATCTTCGTTGGGTCACGTGACCTCCCCAATGTTTGTCATTTTTTAAATGTGAGATGAGGTTCATGACTTTTCAAGCATGGTAAACCTCCCATAAATGTGATCAACTGTAAAAACTAAACATCAACATTCGGAGTGTTGCCACAGCAACATCATTCACCGAAAAAGTGTAAGATCATTGACCATGTCTGAAGGGTCGTCTGACCAAATTTCAACTGGATATGGTCAACTTACTAGGGAGCGTATATCACATGTAAAACATGTCATATTTTGATGCCTTTAGAGGAGGCTATTACTATGACTATTCGCATGTAGATGTGTTCAGGCCAGGACTTCACATGTTTGGTGCGGTTTGGGTCATTGCAGCTGTAACTGCTCAGGCCCTAATAATTGGAGCACTTTCAATAGGGTCCTCACAGGTCCTAACAAGTGCAGTTGCCTGCATACAATAAGTGTTGGTATAGAAAGGCAGCAGCAGTATTATAACAGGTTTAGTCCTATATCACTGTACATCATAACAAATGAAGAGGGCTCCATTAAAGGGCTCACTGAATGGCTTGAATAGTGTGCATCAGTGCATGATGATGTTTGGATGAGTTTCGAATTTACTCACTAAACTCGTTCCTGATGTGGGGAATTACTCTTATGAATTTGCTTTAAAAGATGCAATTGGCTCCATTGCATCTTGGTATTTAATATATAAACCATTTTAATTTTCCTAAGATCCTTTGAGGGCCATACTAAATTATTGTTTTTATCATTAACACTTAAATCACCAGGGCTCCAGACTAGCTTTTTATATCAGTTGCACTGGTGTGCCGAACTGTTTCATTTAGGTGCACCAGCACATAATTTAGGTGCACCCAAAATGTTTCACCATGCCTAAACCTTTTCTTGACAGTTCCCATATACAGTGGTATTCATTCTTAACTAGGGCTTTCCCAAATTGATTCAATTCCTAATCACAAAGTCTTGATTTGATTCAATATCATTTCAGTTCAGGAAATTTCATTATGTAATACCAATTTTGCTTGGATATGTTCAGGAAAACCGCTAACTTGGTGCATTATTGAAAATATTAAGGTAGGCTTGTCACAGTGACAAATTTTGTTGGCTATATTGTTGCAGAAAAATATTGTGATGAATGATATCATTGTCATCATTTTGAAACCATAGTTTTAAGTGAGCACAGGTCAGCAGGAGTGTGGAGGGAGGACACTCAGACAGTGTATCTGAAATGGTACAAACCAACTGCACGAGTTTTTGAATTTTCCTCCATCATCTCTGCTTTACTTTCTGTTTCATTTTCTTATGTATAAATACTTAAACATACATAAACATTGAGACACTTCTCTTTCTATTAATCTAAGTTGTAAATTCTGTTATTTTTACTCTTTTATCATCCGTTACACTTTTTTGTTTTGTATTTGCGCTGATTCGAATTGTTTCCTAATGTCTTCCTTCAAATTTTCATTTTTAACTTGTAAACAACTTGGACCTGTGCTTTAAAAGGTGCTATATTAAATGTGGATGATTCCTATCAGAAATGTATTATTTATAAATCAATTATTTATGAATAGCTACAATATGCAGAACTCATAATTACATGTCAATTTAGCTCAAGCTCAAAGACTGAAAACACACACACACAAACACATGCATGCACACACACACCTTGCAGGTGATATCCAGGCCATAGGAGTTTTCGCCTCTACTTGATGCCCCACCCATTTTCTCCACCCGACTTATGGCACCCAAAGGAACATCCAGCGTCACCACGACATCCTACAACACAGAGTCAGCATGTTGATTTTGCTCATACACAATTATACCTACATCAGCCAATCAGGTACTGTATAATGTAAGTCGGTAAAATGCTTTGAATTTTTATGCGGGATTTTTGAATATGGGTTATATGAATAAAATTTGATTGTTTGAAATACATTTTGCATGGTGACATGCCCCCCTCCTAAACCAACTGAAAAGACACCTTTGGTTCTATGGAAAATGTAATGGCAAACTGCTGGTCTTTATGTACTCGTAAGAATTCACATGGAAAAATATGTTTAAGATAAAGTGTAATGTATGTAGCTGAATCTTGTTTCAGATGACTTACAGTCACATATGTATGATAAAGCAGCATTTCTGTAGTATGAGTTTATTAGTCTATTCTTTGATACTATGGTTTCATAGAATATGGCATTCTGGCATTTGTTAAAACTAAAACATGTTAAAGCATGGTAGTGCTTAAATATGTTGTTACATTGCTCTTTAAAACAGGCAGAATCTATACTTGTGTTAAAAATAGATAACAGTACAACTTGTATTTGAAAAACTGTTGCTTATAGTGATGAACCCTTAGATATCCCCCACTCTGCAGTTCCTTTCAGTTTCACTGCACTGAATTTTGCTACACTACCAGCTCAACAGACTAGCTGGCAAATCAAATATAACATTTAGTAGATAAAGAGCATATATTCAGAAGAATGTATGAAAAATAAATGCTGATATTGCTTCTTCTGCCCCAAAGTGGTGAAAATGTACTTAATGCAGTGAACTAAGTAAAGTGAACACTAATGTGTAATTGACACTTAGTCTGTAATACCAGAGCAAATGACCATGTTAAGACTGGAATTAATATACTGTGGTTGTTTGCCTCCGCCTCCCAGTCTAGTTTCAGTCGTATATTTCTTTTTACAGACATCATATCATTCATTCATTCATATCAGGTCATTGACCTTTGACCACTGAAATCTAATCTGTTCATCTTTTAGTCCAAGTGACGACTAGTCAAAATATTATGAAATTCCCTAAAGACAGCCTTGAGGTATCATGTTCAAGAGGCAGAACACATGTTTTGTGAGGCCACCCTGACCTTTGACCACAGAAATGTAATCAATTAATCTAAGTGAGCATTTGTGCCAAATTTTAAAAGATTCTCCACAAGCAAAAAAAGATTATTGATCTTTGGACACCCAAATTCCAATCAGTTTATCCTTGAGTCGAGTGAATGTTTGAGCCAAATGTAATTAAATTCCCTATGGGTGTTCCTGATATATTAGTGGATAAAGTTGATGATAATAATACATATTTTATTTCATTAGCTATATTATTAACTATATATTGTTTAATGTGTGTTTTTCCTTCTATAGTCATGATAATCATGAAAACAGTGAAGCCGTGATATTTCCTCTGACAATAATTGTGGCACCAAAGTTACATTTCGTGACATCCCTGTTCACTACTATGCAGTGTTTGATTCCACAAAACACTTTTGCAGTCTCAGGGGTAAACAGTGTTGCAGCCAAATCCAATACAATTGAAGTAACTGGTGACTCCTTCTTTAATTGTAAAAAATAAACATATTGGCTCCATACTGCACATGTGGTGTCATCCATATGTCAGTAAGACCATTCAAATTCAATATGAAGAGGTGTCATATACACCATGTTTTAAGCCTAACACACATGTCCTTGGGCGAGAGCTTGTGTGCAGTGTGTGCTGTGTTTCCAGTGTGTGCATGTGAATGTAGCTCCAAGTAGGATATCAGAGGACATTTAGGCTAAAAACGTGGTGTAAATGAAACAGTTTCAAGTCATATTTAAATGACAGGGCTTCAGGACACTTGGGTGACACCACAGGAGCAGTATGGAGGCATTTTATGTTGTTTTTTTCAGTGGTTGATTTGTATTGAATTGATCACCAGTTACTTCAACTGTTGTGGATTTGGCCCCCTCCATCAGAATAGTGGTGAGTAGATGATTCTTGTAGTGGCTAAGCTAGCGGATGTCTTAGGAAGATATCAGTGGACTTTTATGCGTAAAACTTGATGTAAATGACCTTGTTTTGAGTTGAATATGAATGTTGGGGCTTGCAGACACTTGTATGTTATGTTTTTTCTGTTGTTTTATTACGTCTAAAGTCTCGGTCACCAGTTATTCCAATTGTATCGGATTCGGCTGCTACTAAGTTTTCTTCTGCGACTCCAGAACACTTCACCCATCCCTCCATCGGCAGAGTGGTGAGTAGATAATGAGTGAAATTTCATTTTTTAGTGATCTATCCCTTTAATGTCTCATTGATAAATGTTACTGATTTGACTTCTTTCCCTGGAGTCCTTGTGTATTTTTTTGTTTAAGATCCTGGATAGCGGCTGTGGCCACATCGCAGATCATGATGGTAGATAGTGTTGGTTGATCATGATGGTGAATCGTGATCATTGATCGTGAATATAGATCATTATTATGGATCTTGACTATGATGGTGGATCATTGCTCATAGATCGTGATGGTGGATCATGATCATGTTAGTGATCGGTGGCATCTGGTCGTGAATTATGATTATAACTAAATTGCTTAGATACACAATATGCCTATTCACATATACCAATATTTATTATTAATACTTCCCTCATCTTTGTCAGACTTTTCTTTCTATAATCTATAAACACTTTTAACATTGATACACCTCTCCACTTGTGTTAAGCATTGTCTTTTCTCGTGAATTTTGTATATATTGTTATTTTGTTGACATGCTCTGCTAAACATGGCATCTATTGCACTTCTGTCTGTCCTGGGAAAGGGATTTCTCACATGTGGCTCTCTCTGAGGTTAAGTGCAGATGATGTTGCACCCTGTTAACCCCAAGGAGACAAACAGTGATTTTTTAAAATAGGTTATACAAATAAAAGATTGTATAATTGACATTTAACCAGTCCAAGTGAATGTTTGTGCCAGATGTAATGAAATCCCCTGTGACCGTTTGAACTTCAACCAACCAGCAAAATCTAAAAATTATAATCTAAACATTGTTTCATCTTTGAATCCAACTGAATTCTTGCACCAAATTTAAATACACAATCACCCGACCTTAACCCAATTGTGATGGTCTAGGATGAGTTGGACCGCAGAGTGAAGGCAAAGGAGCCAACAAGTGCTCAGCACCTCTGGGAACTCCTTCAAGACTATTGGAAAACCATTCCTGGTGATTACCTCATGTAGCTGATTGAAATAATGCCAAGAGTGTGAAAAGCTGTAATCAAAGCAAAAGGTGGCTACTTTGAAGAATCTAAAATATACAACACTTGTTTACCACATAATTCTATATTGTTCCTTCATAGTTTTGATGTCTTCAATATTAATCTGCAATGTAGACAAAAATAAAAATAAAGAAAAACCATTGAATGGGAAGGTGTGTCCAAACTTTTGACAGGTACTGTACCTCAACCTGATCTTAAGATAGCATGTTTAGAGTGTATGTGTGAATGTGTATGCAAAATGTGAAAGGATTCCCTCAAGGTGTTCTTGACATATTGGGTTCACAAGAATGCAACAGACAGACGGAAAACCCGAAAACATAATGCTTTAGGCCACTGGCTGTCACTGGCGCAGAGGCATAAACACAACAGAGGGCTAACAAAGAGATTTGTTATTGAACCCAAATGCTGCCACAAACTCACACATGTATGCATGTAAAGACTAATAGCCATGAGCTGCTGACTGGCCCTACATGAGCTTGATGGGACTTACAGTATCTGAGCTCTTGAAGTAGAGTCTGTAGTTGGTGATCAACACTTTGCCTTTCACAGCTCCACGGAATGGACAGATGTAGATGATGTCTTTATCTGAAAACAGACAAAAATATTACTTTTCCATATGACTTATCACTCATCTTATCTTACATTATTGGCTCAGAATACTTAAAGGTACAGTGTGTAGAGTTAAGTGACATCTAGTGGTGAAATTGCATGTTGCAGCTGAATGCCCCTCACCTCACCCTCTCCTTCCAAACATGAGAGAGAACCTGTGGAAGCCTTCAGTTGTTATAAAAACTCAAAAGGTGTTTAGTTTGTAGAGTTTGAACAACTGTAAAAAAAAAATGGTGTAAATCTAAATATAAAGTATTTAAATATAAAGGCCCCATTCTAAGGTAACGAAAACAACAATTCATACAATTTAGATGAAAGACATTTGTGATTTTTGTTATTTTCCATTGAATTTCAGCCAATAGATCCCTTTCACCTAAATCTTACACACTGGACCTTTAAGTTACTAAATTATATATAAACTCATGAGAATTTCACTAATGTATCATCGTCATTATAATGACATGTTTGCATCTTTTTCCAGAAAAAAAAAGGTTTCAAAATGTAAAACTCTTCAGTGTGGACACTGTGTGGTACAGATACACTCACCTATAATTCTGTCCTCTCCAGGCAGCAGACATACATCTGCCAACAATTCCATCTTCAGGGACTCTCTGGAGGTCTACAAATGCACACATACACAGAAAGTAGTTTTTTTGACTGAAAACTAAAATATTTAGTATATATAGTATACTCATTTAAATCAGATGGTTACTTTATTTAGTCTTGTTTGGGCCTTTAATTCTATTTGTCTGTTTGATATGTGTAATGGGCCATATTTTTTACAAAAGCTTAATTTTGATTCACTCCAAGTAGCCAACTACTTATTGAAGTTCATCCAGTTACTTTATCAATAAGCCTTATTGTGTAATTTAACTGTCATTTTCATCATTTCTTTGGTCATATATTAATATAAAGCCTCATCTTTTAGCTACTACCATTTGCTGTTATTCTCTGTTTCCTTCTAAACACACGCATGCACGCACATATTTGACCCACGTGCACACACAAAGCGATCAGGATACGCTGCAGTGACACTGAAGCAGGTGAAGTGATGTTAAGCCGAAGATGAAAATGAATGAAAATTAAAGCTGCAAGCAGCAATGGTCAGGCCCTCTCAGGGTATGCTACATTTGTGGTGTAGTTGCTGGAGGTTCATTTACATGGCTTGGTATTGCGTTAATTGTTTGCCCAGTTAATGAAGGAGTTAAAAGTCAAATCATGCTGAGGTGTGCATCACATTGCTATTAAGTGGTGCTATGATTTTATTGAATATTGACACCTAAATGTGGTCAGGTGTGGTCAACAAACATCAGTTCATATTGGACAATGTATAGTCATAATACTGGAACTTCCTTTTTCATGGTGATATGGCCACGGGCATACTGTTGAAGGAAATCTTAAGATTGGCACAACTTAGCAAACAATATTATGAAGTCTAGATTTTTAACAATTACATTACTACTATTCGTAGTGAGAACATCTTAAATGTCAACTTCCTAATTCACAGCAAAACTTTAAAATTCCACATTATGCCACATACATGTCTTGTGATTGCACTAACCAAATTTCAGTCCAGGACCACTTTAGTCTGCATAATTTACATTTGGCGGTATGGCTCTTTTCTGGGAACTCCCTGCTCTTACATGTGCATACGTGGAAAACAAAAGACAGAGAGAGCACACATCTCTGTGCTTCCATGTGCCTGCATGGAAAGCTTAAAGCAGGGAGAGCAACAGCAAGACCCCCAAAGGGAAAATAACAGAGCAGGCATCAGTGACAACAGAAATGACACTGAATAAATTTAACACAGTATGAAAAGAGCTTTGCCTATGAATGAGTGGACGGAATCTGCTGAGCCATCAGCCATGTGGGTTGGCCTTGAGATCAGCTGCTGTAGCTGTCAGGTAAACTGAGCTTAACTTTGTGGTCTGCCTGAACTAAGTTCATTAAAATATATTGCCTGCAAATAGCAGAAACACAGCAAAAATTGTACACTACCATCTAGGGGTGGGCGATATATCAAATTTACTCAATGTATTGCAGCTTGTTCCACGTGCAATGTATAAAATTAATATATCACGACCATCTACATAAATTGTCACGTGAATGTTTTAAGCCTTCTGCATGAAATTCTCTTTAAGTTTCGCTTCTGTCTCTTCTCATGCCCCTCTCACATTAGACAGCTCACTCCCCCACCTATCCAGAAAACTCTCCATGTGTATTTTTGTATCAGGAGAGGAGAAGATACTCAGAGAGCATGGAAAGAGCTAAAGAAAGTGAAGAGTTTTAACAAGGTTACGAGAATTAAGAGACGGTTATTGGGTGTTTTTCACATTCTTTGTGAACGCTGAACCGAACGAATCCGTTTACAAATGATGAACATGATTGCCATTCACTCCAGCGAGAGTGGAGGCTTGCTTGCTTGTGTGTGTTGTGAGATGCGAGGCGCGTTCACGTGAAGCACCCAGTCAGTGACTTAGTTGAAGAACAGTAGAAACATTACAGTTTCCTCTATGATCCAAAGCTGCTCAATGATCAGAAGACAAGCCCCGACATCTATATTTTGAGGTCATTGACACCGTGTTTTATAAAAGCATAAATGTCCGCTTATAGCTCCTGACGAGGTGCATTCTTGGACCGTCGGAAATGCTAACGTCCGCTAGCTTAGCCACTTCCTTAGGATTTTTATGAATTTAACATTAATACAGTGATTTAGAGGAGATTTCAAAATATCTAGATATATATCGTGTATCACGATATAGCCTAAAAATCTTGCAATATTTTTTCAGGCCATAATGAAATTCAAAATGGTTGACTTCCTGTTGAGTTTGGAATATGGGTCCCCGACTTCCAGCAAAATTTAATCAAAAGTTAAGAATGTTTAGGCTGCTAAATATTCGATTTATTACTGTTACAAAAAATAAGAAAAACAAGGGGTCCCCCAGCGGTTGTTGTTTAGGGCCTAATTACCACAGTACCACTGTACGTCTCCGGCAACCAGTGCAGTTTCCGTGTGCATTGTATTTCAATTTTTTTTTTTACAGATTCATGTAAGGTCACTGTGACCTTTAATTTTCATTACTGAAGTGAAGAAATTGCCTCAAGTAGGTGTTATATATCACATTCAAGAAGTACATGTTCCTGAGGCGACCTTGACCTTTGACCATAGAAATTTTATTAGTTAAGTTCATGACCTTCAGTTCATCTTTGAGTGCAAGTGAAAGTTTGTACCAAATTTGAAGACATTCCCACAAGATAGATCTTAAGATGTTCAACAAAAACAAACATACTTGTGATGCCACTGTGGTCTTAATCCTTGACCTTTGACTACCAAAATTATGAGTTCAAGTAAATGTTTAATGTAAAATAATTCCCCAAAGGTTTATATTATATTATATTCCATACATAACCCAGTGAGTGAGGGAGAGCCAGGCGCCTCACACGAGTTCCACTGGCTGAGTCAGAGTGCCTCAGCCCAGCTACAGGCACACGGAGCGTGCGCCCCTCTCCACCAGCCCTGTGAGTTAGTGAGGGAGAGCCAAGTGCCTTGCACAAGCCCCATAGGACGACCTTCAAAATGTCTAGATATATATCGTGTATTGTCATATAGCCTCAAAACATTGTGATATTTGTTTAGCCAAGCCCTACTACCTTCTAAATTGCCAGTTTTCTGTTGAAGTTAGGGTATGGGTCAGAGATTCTTTTTTGATTGTGGTGCGCAAAGCCCGGATACAGGCACATAGAGTGAGTGCTCCTCTCCACCAGCCCAGTATTTGATGACAACAAAGAATTTTTCCAGCATTCTAGAGATCACAGAGCCTGCCGACTCACTCACGGTGTGTGCGTGTGTGCGTCTCTCAGCCTTATCCCTCTCTCTTTTTCCTTCCTTCCATCCCTCCCACACTCACTCACTCAAACTCTCATTCACACACTTGTTCCAGACAGAGAGCACGGCCTGGCACTGTATATCCACTTACACTGGAGATGTGTTTGTCCAAGGCATTTGAGTTGTAGACTGAGATCGGTGAGGCCATTATTCAGAGAGGGGGCTTCCGCAGGCTGAGAAAAGAGAAATAGAGATCAATAGTTATTAGTTGTGTCATTCAAAACCTTCCCAGGAGAAAAAAATAATGAAGCTAGACTCCTTATTTTCTAATAATGTCACACTATAAGAAGCATGGATAATGATAGTGAGATGACAGTGGCACCCAATAGAAGAATACAGTTTTAATATAACTAACTATATGGATTTTACCATTTAAAGGTAAAGTGTGTAGAATTTAGTGATATCGAGTGTTTTGCATGTTGCAGCTGAACACCCCTCACCTCACCCTCTCCTTCCAAACATGAAAAAGAACCTGTGGTAGCCTTCAGTTGTCATACAAACTCAAAAGGTGTTTAGTTTATCCACTCTGGACTACTGTAAAAAACATGGTGGCCTCTGTAGAGAGGGTCCCCTCAATGTCAATATAAAGTATTTAAATATAAAGGGCCTTTTTTTGGGGTAAAGAAAACTACAATTCATACAATTTATATGAAACAAACTAGTACAATATCATATACATCATCTTATACACTGGACCTTTAAAGTTAAGCCTTTCCTACATTATGGAAAAGTTGTCTTTCTCCCTCAAATTGCAAAAAGATAAGTTCTATCAGATCTGGTCAAAATGGACTGAGTATGTAAAAGCTGTACGATCGGACTTTATATGATTCAGTGATGATATTTTGCCCCAGTGTCCTTTTTAGCCATTTGTATTATTTAATTTGCTTTAGTTTAATCTATGTGTCTCTAACTCATACATCTCTCTCTCACTCCGATTGTATGTGTTGCTGGGAAGATAACAGGTACCAAGCTCCCCAGTTCTGTTTTGTTTTGTTTAAAAATGGAAAATGCTGGATAAGGGGTGTCGTAGGAAATGTGTGCAACTGCAACTGTAATGCTTTGAATTTTCCAACAAAGAAAAAATTGGAAAAAAAACCTGACCATATCACTCACTCACACACACACCTGCACATCTGTGTATAGTAAGTACACCTTTTGTTAGTTTGTGTTTTTATACTTTCATTATTTTCATAATAATTGTCTTTCTTTAAAACACATCTTCATTTATGTTGCATAAGGGTGAATTTTGCCAACCTCTACACTGTCAAGAACTCCATATCCTTCAACTGTGCTAGCTATTGATATGGTAATTTTGGTATTAATCAGAGTTCCAAATTTGTAGTCAGTAATTTCATGAGACTTAATCAATAAATTGGCTTTCTTTTCCCTTCCTTTGAAGGTGGTGTCCCGATTGAG